CACACACACACACACACACACACACACACACACACACACACACACGATACCAAACCAAATGAAAACATTAAGAATATTCAATTTATTTACTTGAACAATTTCAAAACATAAATTTCTTATAACACTAAGAATAGAATAAACGATCATGTAATTAGCTGTAGATATTAATGTAGGGGTAATTGAAAGACATAATTTCTTAAAATCTTTCAGCTTATCTTTTACATTTCTACGAAATTAATAGAAAACAACAACAACAACACTTTCTTACAACTTGTGAGGATTGCAATAAAAAACTTCTGGCTAGGCCTTGGTGGCTCACACCTGTAATTTTAGCTACTCAGGAGGGTGAAATCCAGGAGATTATGGTTGGAAGCCAGCCTAGGCAGAAAAATCCTTAAGACACTTATCTTCATTAAGCTACTCAAAAAAAAGCCAGAAGTGGTAGAGGGCTAAGCCTTGAGCAAAAGAAGCTCTCAGTAACAGCACTACAGGACCAGAGTTTAAGCCCTAGGATACACACAAAAACAAGCAGAAACACCCTTTTAAAGTACATTGCAAATGGTGAAAATAATTACAGACCTTCCTTTCATCTCTGTCTTCTTTTTTGTCTTTATCATCACCTGATTTTCTCCTTTTGGGTTTTGGCTCATCATTTTCATCATCTCTCTCTTCTTTTTTATCTTTCCTCTCATCTTTTTTATTTTTCTTATCTTTTTCTTTTTTGTCCTCTTTTTCAGGAAGAGAGAGTAATGACTTGTATATCCTGACACCAAAATCCCTTTGAAGCATTTCATTGAAAAGTTCTGCAAACAATGAAACCTACAAAAAGATATAAACATTAACCCAGACAAATTCAGAACAAATACTGAATAAACCCAGCAGTTAATAATTTATCAAGCTGGGCATTGGTGGCTCACCCTGTAATCCTAGCTACTTAGGAGGGCTGAGATCTGAAGATCACAGTTCAAAGCCAGCCTGGGCAGGAAACTCCATGAGACTCCTATCTCCAATAAACCACTCAGAAAACCAGAGGTGACGCCGTGGCTCAAGTGGTAAAGGGCTAGCCTTTAAGCTGAAGAGCTGAGGGACAGCGCCCAGGCTCACAGTTCAAGCCTCATGACTGACCAAAAATAAATATAAATAAATAAATGAAAACTTGACCATAGCTAACAATTATGTAGTTTTTTTTTTAAGTCATTGATGTAAAATGAGACTCAAATTTTCAAAAGAACATATTTAAGGGCTGGGAAGGTGGCTCAGTGGTAGAGTGCTTGCCTTGCATGCTTAAGGCCCTGGGTTTGATTCCTCAGCACCACATAAGCAAAAAGAAAAAAAGCTGGAAGTGGCGCTGTGGCTCAAGTGGTAGAGTGCTAGCCTTGAGCTGAAGAGCTGAGAGACAGCGCTCAGGCCCAGAGTTCAGGCCCACGACCGGATCCAAAAAATAAAAAGAACATATTTAAAAAGTCTGTATTCACTTGCAATAGAGCCCAGTCTAGTCTCAAAATCATGGTCTTCCTGCCTCAGCTCTCCTCCTAGTATACAAGAGTATGACCCAGCTCAAAGAACGTTTCAAAGACATAAATATTTATAGTGAAATTTAAGTTACATAGTATCAAAAATAACCCTTATATAGAAAATTTAACAGTAGAAAAGATGAGATTACTACAACCAGTAAAAATGCACAGATTTTGGCTAGGTATCATGGCAATGCTTATAATCACAACTGGGGGGAGGGGAATAGATGAAGAACAAGGTAGGAAGATCTCCACTTTGAGATCGTACCTTGAAACAAGTAACATTTACATTAGCTAGGTATAGGAAGGCTCATGCCTATAATCATAACTACTTAGGATGCTGAGATCAAAGGACTTAAATGCAAAGCCAGCCAAAATAGACAAATATTTCAGACATTTATCTCTAATTAACCAGTAAAAAAGTGGAGGCAGGAATCAAGTGGTAGATAGCCTGCTGTGATCACAAAGGCCAAGAAAGAGCACCACGCACTGAGTTCAAACCTCAGCAGGGGTATATGTGGAAATTAAAGACAAACTAATATAGCATGAATCCTCATGTCAAATATACTCTATTCATTCAAGTTTTTAATAAAATACCTACCAATTACCAGAAGTTGTGCTCGTAGGCACTGGGGATACAATATTAAGTAAACTAATCAGAAATATCTACTTTATCTAAGAAATTTAGCAAAGAGAAGAATAAGCTAGTATTAAATTATAGAAAAGAGTAGTCACATAATAATCTCTCATCAGGTGAGATCTAAAAACTATCAGAACACAGCAAAGAAATAAATGATAGAATATTTTAGGTAAAAAATTTTAAACCCTAAGTAAGGAATGTGCATTATTACTATGCAGGGTGAATAGAAGAGATAGAAGATACTCATGACCCTAAAATTATAAACAATTTCTATGTAAGGCTGTCAACAAATATGATTATAAAACATCTACAAACTTGCTGGGTGCCAGTGGCTCACACCTGTAATCCTATCTACTTTAGCCCAGGTAGGAAAGTCTGAGACTCCTATCTGCAATTAACCCCCAGAAAACTGGAAATGGCACTGTGCTCAAAGTGGTAGAGTACTAGTTTTGATCAAGAAAACTCAAGGACAGTACCCAGGCCCTGAGTTTAAGCCCCACAACCAACAAAAACAAAAAAACCTACAAATGGGGCTGGGAAGGTGGCTCAGTGGAAGAGTGCTTGCCTTGCATGCATGAGGCCCCGGGTTCGATTCTTCAGCACCACATAAGCAGAAAAAGCCGGAAGTGGAGCTGTGGCTCAAGTGGTAGAGGGCTAACCTTGAGCTGAAGAGCTGAGGGACAGTGCCCAGGCCCAGAGTTCAGGCCCACAACTGACAAAAAAACAAACAAACCTACAAATGTGAAATGATTGACCACAGCTATCAGATGTGTAATCTATGGTAAAACTATTTTACTTATTATAAGGAATAACAATACACTGAATGGTGGCAGATAATTGCTATATTGGGAGGCAAAGGCAAGAAGATCTAGATTTTCAGGCCAGCCTGAGCTACATGTCAAAAACCCAAGATGTAGTTAGGTGCTTATAGCTCATACCTGCAATTCTAACTACTCAGGAAGCTGAGTCCTGGAGATTCCAGGTTTGAAAGCAGCCAGGGAAATAAAAGTCCATGAGAATTGGGCACCAATGGCTCACACCTGCAACCCTAGCTACTCAGGAGGCTGAGATCTGAGGATCACAGTGTAAAGCCAGTCCAGGCAGGAAAGTCTGTGAGCCTATTATCTTCAATTAACCTCAAGAAAACTGGAAGATGACTCTGTGGCTCAAACTGGTAGACTGCTAGCCTTGAACCAAAAAGCTCAGGGATAGCACCCAACCCTGAGTTCAAGTCCCATGTCTGACCAAAAAAAAAAAAATCCATGAGATTCCATCTTCAATTAATTACCAAAAGCTGCTTTGGAGGTATGGCCCAAGCACTAGAGCATCAATTGTGAGTGAAGGAGCCTAATAATATGAACTCTGAGTACAAATTCAGGTACCAGAAAAAATTAAATCACCAAGCCAGGTGTGTGCCTCATGCCTATAATCCTAGCTAGACAGCAGGCTGAGATCTGGGGGTCACAGTTCAAAGTCAGCTAGGGCAAGAAAGTCTGTGAGACTCTTATCTCCAATTAAGCACCCAAAAAGCTGTAAGAGGAGCTGTGACTCAAGTGGTAGAGCACTAGTCTTGATTTAAAACAAAAGCTAAAGGACAGTACCCGGCTCTGAGTTCAAGCCCCAGCATTGGCACAAAAGAAATATAAATAGACAAATAAAAAACAAAACTAATATAAGCTAATAAAAACTTAGGCAACTGTGATTTTTGTTTTTGTAGCACTAGAGTCTAAACACAAGGCCTCATGTGTGCTAGGTGCTGACAAAGCTAATGCTAACACTCATTACTTGAGCCTTACAACTACTTCCACACTTCTGGCTGTTTGCTAGTCAGCTGTCAATAAGTCTTTGGGAATTTTCTGCTTGGGCTGGCTTTGAAACATGATCATTAGATCTCAGGCCTCCTTAATAGCTAAGTACAGGCATGAGCCACCAGGGCCAGGCTTATTCTGCATTTCTTGACATGCTAATAAAAGAACACATTTCCCAAGAAATAGCTTTAGAAGTAAATGGAGCTATGGCTCTAAAGAGCTCAGAGACAGTACCCAGGCCTTGAGTTTAAGTCCCATGACTGAAAAAAAACAAATAAAAAAGAAATAGCCTTAGAAAAAAAAAGAATGAAACCTAACCTTGGATTAAGAATTTAGGGACTCGGGGCTCGGAAGGTGGCTCAGTGGTAGAGCGCTTGCCTTGCATGCATGAGGCCCTGGGTTCCATTCCTCAGCAGCACATAAGCAAAAAGAAAAAAAAAGCAAAAGTGGCACTGTGACTCAAGTGGTAGAGCGCTAGCCTTGAGCTGAAGGGCTGAGGGACAGTGCCCAGGCCTAGAGTTCAGGCCCCACAACTGGACCCAAAAAAAGAAGAAAAAAAAAAAAAAGAATTTAGGGACTGGAGCTGGGCGCTGGTGGTTCATGGCCGTAATCCTAGCTACTCAGGAGGCTGAGATAGGCTCAGTTCAAAGCCAGCCTGAGCAAGAAGATCTGTGAGATTCTTATCTCCAATAAACCTCTAGAAAACTGGATAATGCGTTGTGGCTCAAGTGGTAGAGTAGCCTTGAGCTGTAGAGCGGAGGGACAGCGCCCAAGCCTAGAGTTCAAGCCCCACAACTAACAACAACAATAAAAGTAGAGAGCTTGCCTTGAGCTGAAGAGCTCAGGGCCAGGGCCCAGGCCCAGAATTCAAGCCCTAAGACCGACCCCAAAAAAAAACACAAAAATTTAGGGGCTGGGAATGTAGCTTAGTGGTAGAGTGCTTGCATAGCATGCATGAAGTCCTGAGTTCAATTCCTCAATACCACATAAACAGAGAATGCTGTAAGTGGCACTGTGGCTCAAGTGGTAGTGCCTTGAGCAAAAGTAGCTCTCAGGGACAGTGACCAGGCCCTTAGTTCAAGCCCCAGGACTGGCCAAACAAAAGAGAAAAAAAAAAGAATTTAGATCCAAATGTCAACTAGGATACCCACTCTGGACAGTGCTCTAAATATGCTCTGTACATCGCTTTTATAATAGCAATAAAAGACAGGTGATGAAGGAAGGGGGAACTAAACATGGATTTTCCCTACAATCCAGCCATACCACTCTTGGCCATCTACCCAGAACATCACAAGCCAGGACACAACATCCTGTTTGTTGCTGCCACTATCCATGTTCAGTGTTCCACTATTCACAATAGCCAAGTCATGGACATAGTGTAAATGCCCTACAACAGATGAGTGGATCAAAAAATGTGGTACCAGCCAGCTGGGTGCAGGTGGCTCATGCCTGTGATCCTACCTACTCAGGAGGCTGAGATTTGAGGATCACGTTTCAAAGCAAGCCCGGGCAGGAAAGTCCCCGAGGCTCTAATCACCAACAAACCACTAGAAAACTGGAAGTGGTGCTGTGGCAAGTGGTAGAGTGCTCACCTTGAGCTGAAGAGCTGAGGGACAGTGCTTTGGCCCAGAGTTCAAGCCCCACAACCAACAAAAACAAAATGTGGTACCTATTTACAATGGATTTTTACACAGCCATTAGAAAGAATATTATGCCATTTGCAGGGAAAAAGATAGACCTAGAACAAATTATGGTAAGTGAGGTAAGCCAAGGTCAGAGACAAACAGCTTATGTTTTCTCTCATATGTGGAAGCAAGATCTAAAAACATAGGGACATGATAAATTATACGGAACTCT